GGTTTTTTAGTTTTCTTATATGTTGCCTCTTAGGCTTATTGTCTCATTCAGTTATGATTTGATTAATAAGTCTTTTATGCAGGAAGATTTTCAATTTTGATCCGTAAAGGAATATTATACAAACTTGAAGACTTGAAACAAAACCGGTTCGATCTAGACAATTGGACTAAGGTCGCTCTTTGTCTAAATCAAGGATAAGGTGGAAGCGATGGTGGATTGATGCAAACCACAATAGGTGTGAAAGCCTACTGATACTTCACGGATTTCTCAAGACTCGGACTTAGCTCACGAGACAAAGAGAAGAACAAATATGTTTAGAAGAAAACGATTATCTTTATTGATTCAAAGGTGAAAAACTCGAACTACAATGTAAGACATTATATAGCCAGGTTCTCAAGAATAAAGAAAGGAAAAACACGTTAAACCTGCAAAAAAAAAAAAGGAAAACGAAATAAACCAAACAAAGAAAGAGCCGTTAGGCTTTAAACACAAAATCGTCTTAAAACGGTAACATAATATCTTTTAGTCTTCAACTTGATCAAGTCTTCTCTTGAGATCCTCCAGCTGATAAGAGGGTTTCCTAAGCTTCTTCTAAGGCCAAAGAATCCGTAGTAAGACGGGCCTCAAGCCTGAGATTGAATAGAATCCATTTGGTGCCATCGGCTATTAAAAGATCCACTAGACATGCCTTCACTGCGGGGCTCTTTACGGATGCTTCGTAACTCTGATTGAGATAATATTTAGTGTTCTAAAAACTAGACTCAAATATCTTTCTATCTATATGTAGATCACCTCCTGAAGCGTTCGGGTCAGACAGCGACACATTGTTGAATATATCAGTCAAATGCGAGTTCTCTGATGGTGTTAGTTGCAATCCTTCAAACTGATCAAGCCTGATCAGTCCTTCACGATCCAGCTGCTCCACGAACATACTGAACTTGTTTTCCAGGCTCTTGCTCTTAGTCCTTGTCATTGGTCCGCTTGGTACAAGTGGTGCTTGAATGACTTTACTTGGCGGTTCGATGTCCTCATCAGAATATAACGCAGAAAGTTAGGATATTCCCTATGACTTCATCTATCAGCCGTGACTATCCAACCCTTGTAAGTGTACGAAGCGTTTTCCAATACTATCATCACATGATGCTCTTTCATGAAGTAAAAATTAACAGATCCGTAATCATTAACCTGTCATTCAACTTTTCCTAGAAGACCCCAAGCTCTTGGTAAAGTAGTTTTGTTTCTAGCCGAATTTTGCTGTTTCAAGTTGACTCCCTTAGCAACCAGACACATCATGTGGTCTTGATCAAACTTGTTTTAAACATCAAGATGAACCTTCCATGTATCACGATGAGTTTCGATACGAAGACCCTGAAGGGCTCGCCAAATTTCTTTTTTTGTATCCATAGGTAATAAAATCCACCTAATCGAAGAGAAAATTGATAAATCTTGAAAAGAGATTTAATCCAAATTTACTAAAAACAAAGATCCATCAAGTCAAAACCCTAGATCGCGTGAAGGTTTGCGAAAGAGAAGGAAAGGTAAAGTTCACGTTTTCCCCATTGACATTTAAAAACAAATTTGCCTCTTCACAAACACATTATTCAATTACAATCCAAATTCATCTGTAATGTAAAAGCTAGATGACTCTCGTGATAATATTTTTTAATTTTACAAATATTAAATAAATTTAAAAATATTATTTCGTGGTTAAAAATTGCTAATGATGTTCGATCCTAATTTCGGTTCAGTTAAGTCTTGTGAGTTATTAGAAGTTTTAGTATATGAAAAATAGTATCGAACATAAAAGATAATATGGATGGTTTTCTATGGTTTTAGTTTTGGTTCATATTCAAATTTGAAATAAACATATCCGTCATTTTACATAAATTAGCTTTAAATCAGTTTTTTTTTTTATGCTCATTATCGAATAAATTATTTTATTTTATTTTTATGAGAAAACAAAACACATATAATTAAAACAAAACATCACTCTCAAAGTCGTATTTCAATCAAAACAAAAACAAAAATCCAAAATAAACGTAAATATCTGGATGAGTAACTCAAGACTTTATACCTATATATCATATAATATTACTTTTTAACATCTAAATATTTGATTAAATAGTGAATGAATAATACAAAGGTTTGAAATGGAGAGGTCACAATGTTTTCCTTGCATTGCCTGAAGAAGAAATCCCTCCAGCGACACTATAAGTTTTGGAATTACTGTTTGCTCCGAC